ATTGGTCAGGAAGAGTGGAGGAACCTGAGACCATGGCCCTGGTCACCCTTTAGGTCTGGAACAGAACGTGCCCTGGCTCAATAGCCAGCCAAGCAGTAAATAAGTATGGAGTCCTGGTGTGGTGCTGTAGGATCCACACTGGGCTGTTAACTACAAAGTCAGTGGTTCAAATCCACCAGCCACTTCTTTGAAACCCCTACAAAGGGTCTCTATGAGTTGGAACTAATTTGACAGCACTTAACAACAATGGTATATAAGTATATAGAGGGGACAACAACACCAGTGAGGTTAACACACCAAAGAATAATCAGCCATTCATTAGAGATCAAAAGGGCAACATTTACCTAAGGACAAAATTCAAAGAGTTGGGAAGATCTGCATATCACAGGTTGTTAATGAGTCTTCCTCCAATCCTTATGCATCGTTCTTCTTCATATAATCCAGCTTCTCAAATTATTTGCTTTAAACATACAAATTTAATAAGTATGTCTATGTACAGGTTCCTCATGAGCACAATTAAGTATTTCAGAATATACATTCTCTGAAATGTTGTCTATACCTTGTTGTGATCCATACAATCAAAAGCCTTTGCATAGTCAATAAACACAAATAAACAGCTTTATGGTATTCTCTGCTTTCAGCCAAGGTCCATCTCATGTCAACAATGATATCCCTCATTCCACATCTTCGTCTGAATCTGGCTTGAACCTCTGGCAGTTCCCTGTCAATGTACTGTTACAGCCATTTTTTAATTGTCTTTAACAAAACTTTACTAGAATGCAATATTAATGATATTGTCTGATGATTTCCACATTCAGTTGGGTCACCTGTCTTTGGAATGTGTATAAATATGGATCTTTCCCAGTCAGTTGTCCAGGCAGCTACCCTCCAAATTATTGGAATCGAAGAGTGAGTATCTACAGTGCTGAATCAGTTTGTTGAAAGATTTCAATTTGTATTCCGTCAATTCCTGGAGCCTTGTTCTTTGCCAATGACTTCAGTGTACTTTCTTTCAGGATCATTGGCTCTTGATCATATAATACCTCTTAAAATAATTAAACATCAACCATTTCTTTTTGGAATAGTGACTCTGCATATTCCTTCAATCTTCTTTTGCTGCTATCTGCATCATTCAATATTTTGCCCATAGAATCCTTCAATATTTCAAGTTGAGGCTTGAATTTTTTTTCCCCACAATTCTTTCAGTTTGAGAAATGCTGAGCATGTTCTTCCCTCCAGGTCTTTGCACATTTCATTATAATATTAGTCTTTGTATTCTCGGGCTGCCCTTTGAAATGTTCTGTTCAGCATTTTTCCATCTCATTTTTTCCATTTGGTGAGGTCCATATGTATAGTCATTTTATGTTGTTTTAAAAAGGTATTTATAATGAAGAAGTCATTGGTCTTGCAAAATTCTATCTTGTGATCTCCAGCATCGTTTCTCTCACCAAGGCCATATTTTCCAACGACTGATCCTTCTTCCTCTTTGTTTCCAACCTTTGCATTCCAGTTGCCAGTAATTATCAATACATCTTGATTTCACGTTTGATCAATTTCAGACTGAAGAAGTTGGTAGAATTCTTCAATTTCACCATCACTGACTTTAGTGGCTGGTCTGTGAATTTGGATAATAGTGGTATTACTGGTCTTCATGACTGAATATTTAGAAGTAGTCCATCTCTCCTTCCTAGTCTGTCTTCACCTAGAAGCTCAGCTGAAATCTGTCCACCATGAGTAACCTTGCTATATAAAGCACCTTAAATCAAGTAACTCTGATATTTAAAATACCGGTGGCATATAGCTTCCAGAATCACAGCAACACTCAAGCCACCACAGTACAAAAAACTGACAGACAAGTGGTGGTGACCAAATATATCAAGCTAATGTTTAAGCTGATAATTTTATATGACCCATAAATGATGTTATAAATTTTGACAGAAAAATGGTCCTTCCCACCCCTGTTTTAGCCATTTATGAAGTAGAATCTAAGTTTTTCTTATTGTTAAGTGCCATCAAGTAGGTTCTGACCCATAGCGACCCTGTATAGGGTTTCCTAGGAGGGCTGGTGAACTTGAACCACTGACCTTGCAGTTCAAATGGCTTTATAGTCTGGCGCATTAACCACAGCGCCACACCAGGACTCCAGAATCTAAGTAGTTCAGAAAAAATTCAAGTTGGTGGAAAAATAATCTCTATAAACTTTTCACAGTAAAAAATGCAAAAATATCCAAAAAGTTACTTGTACTAATATAATGAGATTCTATTAAGTGTAAAAATAGCAGTAATGTGCGACATACTGACACATGGAAATGCATTTCTGATACAATAGTATGGGGCAAATTTCATATTAGTGGACTTTTGTAGAGGAAAATGTCTAAATAGAGGTTCAGTGTGGGTTAAAGAAACTGTTGAAATATTGTTAAAGAAATTATTTAAGGATTTCCTGATGCATCACATATATTCAGTCAGCCAGTCAGTCATCAACTGTCAACTAGACCATTACAGTGACCTCCTGATGGGTCAGCCTCCACTCTTGCTCCAGTTAAAATCATCATCCTGAAAGCAGACCTACTGACCTATCTAAAATGCAAACTCATGGTATATGCCTACTCAAACTCCTCCAAGACTCCCTGCTGCCTACACAATGAAGTCCAAAGTCCCTTTATTAGGCATACAAGGTCCATCTCAATTTGGATTGTGCCTCCCTCCGTATGTGATGGCTGGAACTGGGGTTGGCTTGGCAGGACCAGATCAAATGATTTCATGGAGCTCTGGTAGCGTAGTGGTTACGAATCGGGCTGCGAACCACAAGGTCAGCAGTTTGAAACTACCAGCCGCTCCACGGGAGAAAGATGAGGCTTTCTGCTCGCGTCAAGATTTATAGTCCCGGAAACCCTAGACAATAGTAACAGGTAGTTGTTGTTGCTGTTGCTATGTGCCATGGAGTCGCTTCCGACTCATAGCGACCCTGTACAGGGTTTCCGAGGCTGTAAATCTTTACGGGAGCAGAAAGCCTCATCTTCCTCCCGCAGAACCGCTGGTAGTTTCGAACTGCCGAGCTTGAGGTTAGCAGCCCGATGTGTAACCACTACACTACCAGAGCTCCTTAGTTGCGGACTTCAAAGATTCTATTTCTGCATTCCAGGGGCTCACAGCTCATCATCCAAAAGAGGATGTGAAAATTGACAGACACAAAAGCACTATGAATAATCAAATGAGTCACACGGAGTCAGTGTCTGTTGTCTTTCTGGTCACATTTGTCCAGATATTGTTTACCAGCATACTCATCTTTGAGCATGAAGGACTATGGATTTTTTCGCTATTAAAAACACTTTTAAGAAGTAAGCCATCTAAAGAACAAATTGACAGGAGAAGAGACAAGTGGACAGTGTAATCTACACAATAAATAGTCAGCTTCCCTCTTGAGAGTTGTCATATGCACTCTGCAGTGTTGAAAAATCCTTTCAAGTTTGTTTTATGTACAATCTGAAATGTGATCAGAGTTCATTTTGTAAATAATTTGCAGTTGAATTACCTCCTTTCTATCACTATTCCAATCCTGTTTTATAATATATACACATTAACAAATTTATTTTGTGCTATTGGCCAGGCAGAGTGAAATGTGTTCTACAAACATTACCTCATTCAAACTTTACAGCACACTATTAAGTAAACACTATTACTACCTTCATTTTTCAGGACAGGAAATTAAAACTTGAAGAGTTCAATTAACTTGCCCAAGGTCAAGTCTCTTGTGGGAAGTAGAAGCAGGATTTGAACTTAGGCAATTTGATTCCAGGGTTCATAGTTTTTTTGACAAGTGTACCATATTTCCTGTAAATGGCGAAATGCAATAAACACTAATTACAATTGGTCCATTATAAATTCCTCTGGACCTCAGGTAAATGGCAATGTATATAGTTGAGTAAGTCAAACTGTCTTTTTCTTTTTTTATTAGGAATATTTTAGGACTTATAGAAGTATCATATTAGTTTCTATCAAACTTCTAATATTAGAGTGCTTTCAACTAATTTAAGGATGTCGGCAAAACAAATTATCCACATAATAGCTCTCCTTTGCAAATAAATGATGTTTTTATTCGGCTCTTCTATATAATTTTTTAACTTGGCTATTTTAATCATCATATGGTTTTCCAGCTAACAGAAACTTCATGTGGAAAGAAATTTCAATAGTGCTACCTAAAGACTCGTGTTGTTTTCCTTTACTTTGCTGGTCTTTTATACGCCAGAAAGCTTCCCCTTAAAGTTGACTTCCTTTCTAGAAATTATTTTTGTTTCCAATCCTGTTGAGAATCATATTTTCATTCCTTCACTGACTAGATCTCCGTTTCTCTTTTCTCTCTTCCCCCACCCCCACCCCACCCCACCCCCCACTGCTGTCTCTGTGTGTGTGTGTGTGTGTGTGTGTGTGTGTGTGTGTGTGTGCGCTTTGCTTTCTTGGTAGTAGCATGGAATAGAGTGTGGGCACAGGAAAGAGAAGAAGGGGGTGGGGGAAAAGACAGAAAAAGAATTGTATGCCACTGCGTCTGACTATATCTTCTACTTGTGGATAATTACATCCAAGTTGCACTTTTGCCTTTTATTTCCGTTTTTGGACACCTCTTTCTCACCCAGCCAACTGGGATAGACAAAGCACTGTTGGTGCCCTGAGCCACAGAACTCTGGTAGGGGGCTGGCTGTAAATTGACGTGGCATGGAAATTCTGTGCTAAATTGTAGCAGCCTGAATGTTTCTCTAAAGCCAAGCCCTGTCTACCGGAGCTGTAGCTTAATCATGGGTTTAACGACTTTACAGAAAAATGGATAGGAAAATTCTTCAGTTCCTTTTTTTGGACTCAAAAGTTTTCTTTTGGGGTATTTATGGTTTAGCTGAAAACAAAATCAAAGCAGTTAAGTCTGTAACTTTCTTTTTGCAGCTTAAACAACAGAATTTGCTGCTCTTCCTCCCTTTCCTGCAATTTAATTCCTCACAGATTTTGCCATGGGGTGCGGACTTAGAAAGCTAGAAGACCCTGAGGATAGCAGCCCTGGAAAAATATTCTCTACCCTGAAGAGACCTCAAGTGGAAACAAAGACAGAATTTGCTTACGAATATGTTTTGCTGGATTTTACTTTACAAGGTACTGTTTGCTTTTACTTGATAAAGGAAATGTTTCAAAGATAAGAGACTATTAATATTTTTAAACTGTTGGCTTGAGAATTTTAAGGCTATTCTTCATAATCAGATTATGTAATTAATCTAAAAACAATGTTTTGTTCTTTAAATATATCTTAAAATATTTTGTTTTGTTTTGTTTGCTTTGTTTTTGGTAACATGGCTCTTAGTACGCTATAAAATTAGAAAAACTGCTTGAAAAATATTTCTTTCATTTTGAAATCAAATACACATAGAAGGATACATGAAAAGAAGTCAATTTCTAGGCCAAATATCTATTGCCTTGATAACAGTTTGTGTTTTGAAAAAGGTCTAAAAGGCAAAAGAAGGCAGCATGTAGGAAATATTAGTTGCATTTTGTGGAAGATTGTGTGTTAAGAGCACCTGAGGTTCCCAAGTGTGCTAATTTTTGTGAGTGTGCTAATCTTTTAATATTTTCTCGAAACTAAACTTGAGTTTAATGGGGAGTGAGAGGGGGTAGACTCTTGTAAGACACTTCCTTTGCACAGTGCCCTGTCTCCAACAGAGAAACTCCTTGTTCCAGAAAGTTGGAAATACAAATAAACAAGCCCAGATGGCAGCTCTTGGGAAGGATCAGAGGCAGCTCGACTTCACTGATACTGTGCCTCCTTTTGCGGGGGAACTTTAGAATACTGTACAGCTGCATGGATAAAACTTACCTTTTCAAAGGCAGAACTACGTCTTTAATTATGGGGTACTAAATATGAAATTTTTTGATAGCGTTTCCAGATGATAGTAAGTTTTTTACTACAGAGTTGTACTTTTCATTCCAGTAAGCTACGGATTTCATCAGTGCATGGAAATTTTATACTATTAGGCTTTATAATATCTTAATTTTTTTTTTCAGCTTAAATACAAATTCCCTCTGCAACCACCCCCACCTTTTTTTTTTTTGGTTTACTGTGGAAACAGTACATCTTTGTGCAAGAGGCAAAAGCAGCCCATTTTTCTTTGTCAAAAATTGAACTGGCCAGTAAACAAACTCCCTCCCAGCGACATACAAAAATCAGGTACATATACAACTAAGATATTCACATTTCCATTTTTATATAAGACAATCAAAGGAAAAATGTCAGTCTTTAACTTTCTTTTTATTTATGACATTTTATAAAGTAGATTCAGATAAGGATGACAGAAAAGTGACCAAAGAAACCTACAGATTTTTTCTGTACTTCTCCAAAAAAACTTCATTTGAGAAAGTACTTGTGATGTGATACTATGTTTGCTCTATTGGCTTTCTTTGTTACTTATTTTGTAAGGTCCAGTTTCTGTAAATCCACAGGGCATTAATATACACTCTTTCTAACCTGAAGAAACCCTGTGTTGTTGTTGTTATTGTTGTTAAAGTGCCATCTATTTGGTTCTAACTCATAGTGACCCTGTATAGGTTTCCAAGGAGCGGCTGGTGAGCTTGAACAGTTGGCTCTGCAGTTCAAACTGACCTTTCAGTCCAGTGCATTAACCCACAGTGCCATACCTTACCTTACCCATTCATAAAATCTTAGACCAGACTCATTTTGCTCTGTGCTTTAAGATTTGCTGCCTATCCACCATAGGATCATAGGCTTCAAGTAACTTGAAAAGGTTTTCTGATTCATCTCCTTCCAATGACGCTAACAATCTCAAACAAATTTGTGTAGATGCAGTAGTCCTTAAGTCAGAAAAATCTACAGCTTTATTCAGAAGTCATTCTGGTTTTGTCATTATCAGAAGCCCTGCTCTTTGTGAAGGAATATAATTTCTACCTTCTATTGTAGGTGTTTGTGGAGTTAATAGAGTGTTCTATATGAAAATGTTGCTGTACATTTAAGTATGAACATAGCAAGCAAATGTTAGACACAAAGCAGGCATGTGTTTTAAAGTTGCACCTGGTTCCTATTTGGTCCAGACTCCTTCACCTCTTGGTGCCCCGTTTCTCTCCACCTCTGCCACATGCTTTCTTTTTTCCTACTGCCTTTGCCTCAAAAGCCAGATGCTCAGCACCCACCCAGCTGCACAACTCCACTTTCCAGGCCTTATATTACTTGCCTTTCTTCTCTTGTTTCTGACCTCCGCCTGCCACTCCAGGACACAAGAGGAGTCAAGTTTGGGTTAAAAACTGCCAGCCTTGCTCTGTCCAGTGATTGCTATAAGGAATACTGAATAGTAACACTTCCTGCCTCCCAGAGGCTACCATTGCAAGGAACAGCCTGTCAGCAAACAAAACGTCCTGGTGACAACTGTCTGTGTACTCATGACGAGTATGTTGCCTCCTAGGTTTGTCTCAGTTTTTCCAAACAAAGTCCAAACAGCAGGGCTGGATATAAAGTCCCACTGAGGGCAAAAGGTGGAGATTCTCAAACTCCCAGTACCATGTGCTTATTTTTCCGTTCAGTTCCACCTTCTATTCTCTCTCTTCTGCCTTCTTTCTCCGTCACAATTTTAAAGGTACATTTCAAATAATGTTACATAAAGTTTCTGTGATGCTATACTTATTTTTTAAGTTGCTATAGAAACCACTTTGACTCTGTGTGTGTCACAGGTGTCAATAAGGTTTTCAATGATTGGGGGAGTGGGGGACTGATGACCAGACCTTTATTCCAAGGCATCTCTGTGTAGACACAAACCTCCAACATTTGATTAACAGCCAAGAGTATTAACCATTTATACCATCAGGAATTCTATACTAACTTGAGAAGAATGAAATGTTTTTATTTCATTGCAAAGTGTTTCAAATTGCTCCATTTATTAATAACTAAACTCACTTGTCATTCATTTGACCCTCTCTACTTTTCTCTGCCATCACTTCAAAATTCCACCCAAAAAATAGCTTACGCCTCCTATCTCTCTGCCTTCCCACATTTTTTTTCCTTTTTTTGGCTTTGGCCCTTTAAATACATGTGTATGGGAGAAATACTTGCTTCATTAAGGAAGCAAGACTCGGGAGTAAGATTGATGGGCTCTGAATCAAGACTTTCATTCAGTAACTGAGGCAAGTTAGTAAACTGCTTTCTGTTTCTTCATCTGTAAAATAGATATTCTAAAGGTACTTTCTTAATAGAGTTATTATAAGGATTAAATAAAATAACACAAAATAATCTACTTGGAAAATACCCTACCTGTCATTTGCTGTTGTTGTTAAGTACTGTCAAGTTGCTTCCAACTCATAGGCACCCTATGTAAAGCAGAACTAAACTCTGTGCGGGCCTGCACCATCCTCAGTCTTTCATATATATTTAGCCCATTGTTGCAGCCCTGAGTCAGTCCATCTCGTTGAGGGCTTTCCTCTTTTACATTGACCTTCTACTTTACCAAGCATGCTATTTGTTATCAGAAGCTGTTGCCTCCCGATAGCACGTTCAAAGTACATGAGACAGAGTCCCCTCCTCCTCATTTCTAAGGAGTGTTCTGGCTAGACTTCTCCCCACATAAATTTGCTCTTCTGGAAGTCCATGTATATTCAGTATTCTTCACCAAACCCACAATTCAAAAGCATCAATTCTTCTTCCATCTTGCTTCCTCATTGTCTAGCTTTCACACACATATGAGGCAAAAGAAAATACTATGACTTGGATCAACTTAGTCCTCAGAGTGATACTTTACTTTTCAATACCTTAAAGAGTTCCTTTACAGCAGATTTGCTCAATATAACATATCATTTGATTTAGTTAGTGTTGCTTCCATGGGCATTGATTGTGGATCCAAGTAAAATAAAATCCTTGACAACTTGAATATTTTTACAGTTTTTCATCATATTGCTAATTGGTCCAGTTGTGAGGCTTTTTGTTTGATGCTGAGGTGTAATCCATATTGAAGA